TGCTTGGCATTGCCTGCTGTTGTTTGGCGTTGCATTGCTCGGCGCTGCTCCGCCTCGCTTGGCGTTGCGTGGCCTTGCTTGGCGCTTCTTGTCCTCGATCGGCGTCGCTTGGCCGTACTTGGCACCGCTTGGCGTTGCTTGGCATTGGCTTGACATTGCTTGGCATTGGCTTTGCAATGCTTGGCGTTGTCTTCACATTGCTTGGCTTCGGCTTTGCAATGATTGGCATTGCCTTGGCATTGCTTGGCCTTCCTTGGCACTGCTTGGCGTTGCTTGGTTTTGCTCTGCGTCGCTTGGTCCTGCGTGGCGTTTCGTGGCCTCGCCTGGCGTTGCTTTCATTGCTTGGCCTTGCTCGGTACCCAATCGATGCCAAGCAGCGCCAAGCAATCCCGAGCAGCCTCGGGCGAGCGGCCGGGCGATCAAGGGCCCCTCCCCTTTGACGAAGGGCGCCGCACCCACCGATCCTTTCCACAGACGAGCGAGGTGCCCCCCAGACATGTGGTGCTTGGATGCGTGGTGTGTTGCAAGCCGAAGTGGGGAGAGGAAGTGTGGGCGCGTGTGCGCGTGTGCGCGTGTGTGCGTGTGTGCGCGTGTGTGTGCGCGTGTGTGTGTGTGTTTGTGTGTGTGAGTGTGAGTGTGAGTGTGAGTGTGTCTGTGTGTGAGTGTGTGTGTGTGTGTGCGCGTGTGTGCGTGTGGCTTCTCCTCGGCGTCGCCGCCGTCATCGCCGTCATCCGTCGTCGTCGTCCTCCGTCTGCCCTCGGGGATGCTGCCGTCGGCGTCCGTGCCGCTGGCGCTCGGAGGGTGCCGCGGGCGCAGGCGCTGCGGGCGGCTGGCCGTTTGGATGGGCTGTCCCAGCCCTCCCCGTCTTCGCCCTCCCCTGCATGACCTGCCTGTGCTTTCGAGCCGTCTTACACACCCGCTCGCGTGGCGCAGCTCCTCTCTTCTGCACGTGACCTCCACCATCCAGGCAGCAGCTCGTTCTCATAGGATCGAGCAGCTCACTGCACGCTGAGGTATGCAACGCCCTAGGGGCCTCCGATGAAGTCATCCACAGCAGAATTTCTTGTGAGGTGGCCTGCTTGCGAGCGACTGCCAACGTGACTGCCACCACCCAGTCCACCCGCCTGCTTACGCCAGGTGCGCTTTCTCCTCCGCGGTTCCCGGCTCAGCTCTTCGCGAAGGTGCTGCCGCCTCATCGCTGGAGGAGAAGCGTGCGTGAGTATATGTGTGTGTGCGTGTGTGTGTGTGTGCGTGTGCGTATGCGTGAGGGTTTGTGTGTGTGTGTGTGTGTGTGCGCGTGCGTGTGTGTGTGCGTGTGTGTGTGTGTGTGCGTGTGTGTGTGTGTGTGCGTGTGTGTGATAGGGCTCATGAGGAGCATCGGGTTCAGAGGGCCCAGGGGAGCAGGAGGAGGAGGAGGAGGAGGAGGCTAGAACGCCACAGCTTTACGCTCAGGTTGGTCTAACGTAAAGAGGAGGAGGAGGAAGAAGATTGCCACGGGCGGGGGGTGGCGGAAGGGGGACCATTGGGGGCCCGCGCCTGAGGGCCCGGCCGTGCGCGTTGGTTCCGCGCTGCTTGTTCGACTTGCTCCGCCTCGTCGCTGCGCGCGAGGCCGCGATCGCCAAAGTGTGTATGTGTGTGTGCGTGTGCATCGACTACACAAGAACCCCTAACCTTAATAACACGATGAAGACGTGGCCTCACTGAGGTCCCCGCCTTCGCATTAGGGATAATAGTTCTGGGCGGTTTGGTCTGATGCATCTGCAGAACAGACCCCCTATCCCAAATGGTTTCGGCCCTCCTAACTTAAGTCCCCTCCCAAAGCGTCAGGGTTCCTTTTTTGGTCGGTCATGTGTGTGCCCACCGCCACCCGTCTGTGTCTGTGTCTCTGTGTGTGTGTGTCCTCTCCTCGGCTGCCCCTCTGTGAGACTCCCCCGCGGCGCTGTGCATCCCCGCCTGAGCTGCCCGAGCCCCTGGCCGCGGCCGTTCCTCTGCGGCGGTCGGGCGCTCTTCAAGCTCCCCGTCCGACTCCCCCATGTCGTTGCGCGCGAGGCCGCGGCGCCAAGCAAAAACGTGTGTGTGTGTGTGTGTGTGGGTGTGCGTGTGCGTGTGCGTGTGCGCGCGTGTGCGTGCGCGTGCGCGTGCGCGTGCGCGTGCGCGTCTGGGTGTGGGTATGTATGTGGGTGTGGGTGTGGGTGTGGGTGTGTGTGTGCGCGCGCCTGTGTGTGTGTGCTTGTGCGTGTGCGTGTCGACGCGGTTCCTCTTCGGGTTGCGCTGTCGTGGTGTTCCAACACCCCGCCCATCCTCGCGGTTGTTGTCGATGTCGGTCCGTAGGTTCACACCCTGCCGATCTGCTTTGTCGGGCCCTGCTGGGTCAGCGCTTTATCCCACCAATCATGTAGTCCGGCAGCTGTTACAGTTTTCATTGCGCTTCACTGTCCAACACCGCTCTTCGGTGATTCAGTGGCCGCCAAGTCATACCAGTCTGCTTGCGCTTCAGTTTATTTCGAATTGAGTATCCTCCTCGTTTTTCTGGCCGCCGCATGGTTCGTTTGGAATTACTGTTCCTCCAACACACCGCCCATTGCCTGCACTTTACAGTGCGCGACCCTTCGTACACTGTGCCTTCGACTACGCTGGATCGCAATTCGCACTTCCATCTGTTGCCGCGCTTGAGGACCCTCTACGCCGCCGGCTCAAAAGTGTGTGTGTGCGTGCGTGCGTGCGTGCGTGCGTGCGTGTGTGCGCGTGTCTCTTCCCTTTTTCTTTTTGTTTGTTCTCTCTATCTCTCTCTTTCTCTCTGGGTGTGCTGATGTGGGGCCCAGGGGGCATGTATAATGCAGCCGACCTCCCTGGTACATGCGCGGCCCTGGCGCCCCTCTGGCTCTTTCGGTTTGCTGTCTAGATTCGGCGCCTGGCCCGGCAACACTACTATCGTAGGGAAGCCGATCGCGCGTGCTCGTTGCAGCACAGGGTGCGCGTGCGATTTGCTGCGGGCTAGAAGTTTTGCACGTAGAAGAAACCATGGCAATCCAGGACATGGTAGCGCCGCTTTGCCAGCCGGTGGGTGATGCCAGCTGGGGTCATACAGTCTGATCAGGGCGACGGCCACTTTGCAGCTGGCTCAAGGTATTCGTCGTGCTAATGTTGTCGTGCCCCGTCAGTACGGTTCGTTGGATTATCAAACGCCGCCCGAAGCATGGCAGAGCTTCAAACTACAAGCCGTCCCCTAGCTGTTCAGGTGATGCGGATATGATGTCGGATACGTGGTACAGCTCTGTATTGGTAGGGCATGGGTTCATTATACTTGAAGTGTGGGATAGCTCATCGCATCCAGTCCACCCAGTCGTGGCATCAAGTATTGCAGTGCCCTGGCAGGTTAAATGTTTTCTAACCTTGCTTATTCAATCGAACTTCATTGCTGTCTCGAGAGGAGCGCGCAAAATGATGTCCTGCTCTCCCTGGGCTGGCCTTGCTCCATCCTCATCCATTACATCCCTGCTCTTGGCGGCCTGCATTGCGTCTCACTATCTCCAGGCCCGTACTGGCGATACGACGGCACCATCCCGCAGTGGCGTCAGGTGTTGATCTCTTGCCCCACTGATTGCCCCATTTCTTGTCATACAGTGGAGGCCCATGCCAAGAAGCACCCTGCTTGGAAATGCCACGAAACACCCACGCCAAGAAACACCCACGCCACGGGTTTTGCAATGGAAAGCGTGGCAAACCACTCAAAATCGGTGGACGCCCCTAGGGTTCTCAGGCTTGGGTTTCCTGTGGAGGGTTCCTTGCGGTCGGGCCTCCACTGTATGTTGTCTGGCCATACCGCCGGGGCAACGCTGTGCCACAACATCCTTGTACTGCACATTCGGCTCGGACGTGCGCCTCCGATGGTGGCGGCCAGTGCTGCAGGCTCGGTGATGATGATGCGTGATGATGATGATGACGGCGATGACGATGATGATAATGATGATGATGATGATGATGATGATGATGATGATGACGATGATGATGATGATGGTGGTGGTGGTGATGGTTATGATGATGATGGTGATGGTGATGGTGATAATGATGATGATGATGATGATGATGATGATGATGATGATGATGATGATGATGATGATGATGATGATGATGATGATGGTGGTGGTGGTGATGATGATGATGATGATGATGACGATGGTGATGGTGATGGTGATGGTGATGATGATGATGGTGATGATGATGATGATGATGATGGTGGTGGTGGTGATGATGATGATGATGATGATGATGATGATGATGACCCACGCGTCTAAAGAGGTCAGGAGCTCCTAGCTCGTACTGCCCCTCGGACCGAAGCGTTTCCCTGCGGCGGCAACGCTCGGTCTCGTGCGCCTCAGCGCACCCTCGCAGATTCACCTGAGTGCCAAGAGGCCGCACACCGCCCCAGCCGAAGCAAGCGGTAGTACGGCATCCGAGCAGTCACGGCGACTCAGCCCGCTACAGCAGCACACACGCGCCAAAGCAGAGCAAAAGAGTCCCAAGGCTACTTGCCGCCCACTGGACAACCTTGCGCTGCGATTGCGTTCGGAGGCGATCCAGAGAGTCTGTAGCAAGCCGCCTACCCCCTCGGTTCGGCCTCCGCCCTGGCGCGAGAACAGTGCACAAGACAGGCGGGCTGGTACGTAGCAAAGCTGCAGAACGCAAGCGCCACTTGACGTGCCAAACGGCACGGACAGAGCAGCGCAGCGAGCCCAGAAGGGGCAGGAGTGAGTGAACCCTGACGTGTGCCGAGCCCCGAGGGGTACGGCCTACGCCACGGGGTCCCTCTCGCCTCGAAGCTCGCAAGCTCGTCGCAGGCATTCGTGATCCTCGGACCCGCCTGGCACCACGAGCACACGGCACCTCGCTCGGCAGACCGATGGGTCCCAAGCCGCAGGGTGCCACAAGTACATTAAGGCAGATGCCGCGCGAGCGCGGCAGAAGACATGTGAGAAAGTTGTCGGGACAGATCGCGCCCGTCAGCGCCTGCCGCGCGCCTCACAGGCTGCGCGCAGCTTGGCGCCCAAGGCGGCGCGAACCCCAGCCATCAGCCCGTTGTATCTGGCCCGCAGCGCCACGAGCTCCGCCCGCTCCGAAGGGAACTGCTGCTGCTCCTCGGGCTGCTCGGAGTCGCGCTGCTGGTTGACGTCGGACTGCTGCTCGGAGACCGCCTGGGTGTCCACGCGCACCGGCGTCTCGGCGAGAGCGGGCTCCGATGTAGTTTTGTCCTGGGCCTCCGACTCCTGCTCCTGGACCCGCTGGGAGTCCGCCCACGTGCACTCCTCCTCGAAGTGCACCTCCCTCGTGGGGCCCGCGGAGCCGATCCCGACCTTCTCCTGGAGGTCCTGCTGTGCAACACCTGGCTGCGTGCGCCCGTCGTGCTTGACAGCGTACTCCGACGGGTCGCTGCCAAGAGGCTCATCATCTGCAGCCTCATCATCATCATCGGCCGAGTCCCTCTCGCACTCCACCCCCTTCACCGCCGTGGTCGGCGGGCAGGCGCTGGGTGCCTTCGGGCCGCCATTCCGCCCCAGCTCCTCGAGCCTCCACTGCCACCACTGCGTGCCAGAGGCCAGGGGTGGAGGAACCGCCTCAGGCGCCGACCGCACACGATCCGCCAGGACGAAGGCAGTGCCGCGGGTCGCGGCCCTCCCCCGCCTCGCAGCCGTTCTCCATGCTGTGTACGTGGCGGGCTCGGCCGGGGTGCGTCGCCTTGAGTGCCCGTGCGCTCGCCGGTACGGCGGCCGACGCTGTCGGTCCTTCCCGCACGGGCCGACAGCCGCGCCTCCGCCGCCGCCTGACCGACGCTGGTTTGGCGGGGCTCGACGCCGCGCCAACGCCAGCGCCCAGGTTCCCGTCCGTGCACTCCTCGTACTCGCCCTCGTCCTGCACATCGCTCGGCTCGTCGTGCTAGCTGCCGAGGGGCGCCTGTACCTCGCCCGAGCCGAGACCGTCCTCGCCCGTGCAGGCGTCGCCGAGGGTGTCGTCGTCGACGTGCCTGGAATCATCGTCCTGCGCTCCGTCGCCAGCGCACTCGCCGAGCTCGGGCTTGGACTCGAACCTGACCTCATCGGGCCCGCGATCGCTGTCGTAGCCCTCGAGCTCGTCGTCGCCGACGCCGTACTTGATCTCGTACTGGTTGTGCAGCTGCACGTGCTGCTGCTCGTCCACGTGCTGCTGGTGCCCGTCATCGTCTTTCTTCGCATCGCCGTTGTAGCCGCACTCGTCTGTGGGCGGCGCCATGCTACGGCGCCTCGCCTCCAGGCTGGGTCGCCATCCCGCCTCAGGGGGAGGACGGCTGAGTGCCCCCAGATCCGTTGGGGCGAGGGCGCCAGACCGCCCACGGCGCTGGCTGGCCTGCGGCCGCTCGAGCGCGGCCTCGAGGACCTCGGCGCCTTCACCGAGGAATGCGTGGGCCCCGAGGTTCGGAGTCGCCCGCTCGGCGCCCGAAGTCCTCTCGCCGTGGATCAGGCGCGCCAGGGCTGGCCTGATGGCCCGAAGCCGCAGGGCGAGCTCGGCGTCCTCCTCATCGCCAGCTCCATCTGCAGCCCAGCCCCCGATCAGCTCAGCACCGACGCGCGCCGCGGCGGCCACGGCGGCCGCGATGCCGTGCCTCGCAGCGCCCCCCGTTGCCGCGCCTTCGGCTGCCGCTCGAACCAGCGGCGCCAGGGCGGCAGCAGCGTCCAGCGCCGCGACTGCCATGAATGCCCGAACAGCGCGGGGCTCGAACGGGCCAACTGAGGAAGAAATAGCCCGATCAGCGCGAAGCTCGAACGGGGAAACCGCTGCCATACCGCGTGGCACCTTGAGCCAAAATGGCTACGGATGATGATGATGATGATGATGATGATGATGATGATGATGATGATGATGATGATGATGATGATGATGCTGCTGCTGCTGCTGCTGCTGCTGCTGCTGCTGCTGCTGCTGCTGATGATGATGATGATGATGATGATGATGATGATGATGGTGGTGGTGGTGGTGGTGGTGATGGTGGTGGTGATGTGTGATGTGATGATGATGTGATGATGATGATGATGATGATGATTATGGTGGTGGTGGTGATGTGATGATGGTGATGATGATGATGCTGATGATGTGATGTGATGCTGATGCTGATGCTGATGCTGATGTTGATGATGATGCTGATGCTGATGCTGTTGCTGATGCTGTGGTGGTGATGATGATGCTGATGCTGATGATGCTGATGATGGTGATGGTGATGGTGATGGTGATGTGATTGTGATGATGATGATGATGATGATGATGATGATGATGATGATGATGATGATGATGATGATGATGATGATGATCAGCATCATCCTCATCATCATCATCACCACCACCACCACCACCACCACCATCATCATCATCATCATCATCATCATCATCATCATCATCATCATCATCATCGTCACGTTCTCCGAAGGCCACGCCGAAGCCCCAACAACACCCGAAAGGCAAACGAAGGCGTCTGCGCCCAGCTCCGTCCGCATCAGCGGACGTGCGGTCCAAAAGCCCCCCTCAGAAAAGTATGAACGGGCTTCCGCCTTGGGGGGGGGAGCCCAGTTTTTGGGCGATTCCGCTTAGGTTTGGTCTGCCTGTTTTGGCCCCTGGTCCCCGCCTGAGACATCCTCACATTCTGCCTGGTGTGGCCCCTGGTTTGGCCTGGTTTGCGCCTGGCTTTGCTTGAGACGTCCTCGGAATTGGCTTGCTTTGACTCTGGTTTGGCCTGGTTTGGGCCCAGTTCCAGATGAGATGTCCTCACAAATGGCGTGTTTTGGCTTTGGTTCGGCCTGCTGTGGGCCCAGTTTTGCTTGAGCCGTCCTCTCAGTTTGCTTGGTTTGGCAGCCACACCAGGCAAACTGAGAGGAGCCAAACAAGCCGAAACCGTGCCAAACCAGAGCCAAACTTTGGCTCTGGTTTGGCACGGTTCCGGCCCCTTTCCGCTCGAGACGTCCTCGTAATCTGTGGTGGCGATTCGAACTGGCATACTGCACAACAGACGTCATCGAGGTCCACATCCAGCCTCGGGGTGCCTTCCGGTGGCTGCGCCTCGCCGAGAGCTGTCTGGGGGTGTCCGGGTCCTCCCGAGCGGCCGCCAGGGGGCCCGAGGTGTGACCCGAAAGCCACCAGGGGGCGAACGTTCAGAAGGGGGGAACATCGGCCTACCGTGCGCCGCACACTCCTCCTCCTCCTCCTCCTCCTCTTCCTCCTCCTCCTCCTCCTCCTCCTCCTCCTCCTCTTCCTCCTGCCTACGAGGAGGAGGAACAGGGGAAACGAACGTTCAGAAGACTCTGGAGCCGCCGTGCGGTGATGCATTTTCCGACCTGAGCTTTGTGTCGGAGATGCACCCCGAACGGTGCGGAAAAGTGGGGCGGATACTTCCGCCGCTTCCGCCTCGGGCAGGTAGGGCGGGTGTGTCCGCGGAGCTGTGGCGGACGCCGCGCCAGTCGGCCTCCCCGCGCGCCACTGCTCGGAGCCAGGGCCAAAGCAAGCTCGTTTCGGGGAGACGCGGCGCGCGGCAGCAAACCTCACACTGATTCAGGCGAGCTGTTGTGCGCCGTTCTAAAGCTTGGCCCTTCTTGAAAAAAGGCTTGGGCGTTTTGTATTGCAATTTCGCAGTCTGGCCTCTTGACAAGCTAGAAACGCTTTTTTTGTATGTGATGTGTTCGGTAAACAAGCGCGACGGTGTTTTGGCTTTTGTAGCTCCATATTACAGCGTTTCTTGGGCCCGTCGCCGTGGACCATATTGTTATATTTGTTGCTTCCTGGTCGAAGGCTGTTTCTTGTCTTCTCTTTTGTCTTCTTGTTTCTGTCACCGTTCTCCTTCCCAGAGCCACAAAACGTTTCAAAACGCTCTAACGCCGGTGTCATACGGGCCCGAAACAGGCCAAGATGCCCGATGGCCCCAGGAGGGGCAGTCGACCATCGGGCCCGCCAAACTGCACTCCAGGACAAGGACTGCACGCCAGGAAAAGGAACTGAGGACGTCGTATATGGCAATGTTAATGCAACCGACAGATCTGAAACCGCTGCACAAACACACCTGGAAACACCAAACATGAATCGGTCTGGGTGGTGGTGGTTAGTTTTCCTGCTGGGACTTACAAGCACAAAAATAATCATTTCCAACACGTCGAGGTAAAAACGCCGTGGGCATATTTGTAGAACCAAGTTCTAAAGAGCACGAGCGTGCCCGCCGAGTGCAGCCGACGAACATGCATTCCGCCGCGCCCGCGCGTGCGCCCCCAGTGGCAGCTTGGTATCCTGTGCGAATTGAGAAGGTGCGCGGGGGGTGGGCAGTTCTGGGTTTCTTTTTCCTCGGTCCCTTGGTCCGCCATCCCTGTTCGATCGCCTGCGCATTCCCGGCTCCAACAGGACGCCCGGCTGCCATTTGGCTGGGAGCGCTGGCGCGAACGCATCTGAGAAGTTAAAGCTTAGGCATCTCTCGCGCTTTGTTCCTACCGCCACCCAACCGCCGCAATTCTAGTTCCGCTTTCGCCCTTCGCCCTTCGCCCTCTCCTCCGCCCTCTTCTTCTCGTCGTCGCCTCCGCGGTCGCCGCCGTCGCCGTCGCCGTCGCCGTCGCCGCCGCCGCCGCCGCCGCAGCCGCCGTTTTCATCGTCGTCGTCGTCGTCGTCGCCATCGCCGCCGCCGCCGCCGCCGCTACCGCCGCCGCCGCTACCGCCGTCGTCGTCGTGGTCGCCGCCGCCGTCGCCGCCGTCGCCGTCGTCGTGATCGTCGTCGTTGTCGCAGTCGCCGTTGCCGTCGCCGTTGCCGTCGCCGTCGCTGTTGCCGTCGCCGTCGCCGTCGTCGCCGTCGCCGTTGCCGTCGTCGTCGTTGTCGAAGCGCCGGGCCGCCGTCCTACAGGCCGACGCTCAAGCGCGCACGCCGCGCGGCTCGTTGGCGAGGCTGCCTGCGGGGACCCGCCGGCGGCGGTGCGGGCGCGGTACGCGCGGAGAAAAACGGCGGCGCGAGGGCGCGCACGCCTGCCAGGAAAAGGAAACCGGGAAAGATGGGGGATGACCAGCAGCAAGTTTTGTCCAAAGCCACCAGCAGCCGCTGTTGGGCAGGCCACTTTTTACTTCAGGAGGGGAGGAGGAGGAGGAGGAGGAGGAGGAGGAGGAGAAGGAGGAGGGAGGAGGAGGGAGGAGGAGGAGGAGGAGGAGGAGGACGAGGAGGAGTTAGGAGGAGGAGGAGGAGGAGGAGGAGGAGGAGGAGGGCGCGGTGCGCGCGGAGAATCGGCGGCGCGAGGGCGCGCTTGCCGGCCAGGAAAAGGAAACCAGGAAGGATGGGGGATGGCCAGCAGCAGGTGTGACCCAAAACCATCAGCAGCCGCTGTTGGGCAGGCCACTTCTTGCTTCCGACGGAAAACGTTCGCGGCAACGCCGACAGCTAGTCCTGTTCAAAACCTGGAATCCGCTTTCGCCCCCAATCTTTCCGTGCCGGCCACCCGCCGCTTCGGGAGCCGATCTTCGCGGAAGGTTTGCGGGAAAGCGGTGTTTGCACAGGTCGGAGGATTTCGGGGCCCTTGGGGTGCCCGGATGGCCCAGAACCGCCATCTGAGGCCAGAGATACCGCCCGAGAACAGCAGGAGCAGGGCCACTCGAGACAACGGCGGCCCTCCCTGGCGTTCCTCGTCCCTGTTGGGCCTCCTGGAGGCTTCTCGTCGCCACGGCCGGATCCGCCTCGCAAGCCGCTTCAGGATGGATCCTGGGAGTCTCAGGGTCCTGGGACAGTGGTTGTGCGCCGGGCGGGAGAGCCGCTGCTGTCTCCATCGGCACTTCGCGTATGGATCGGCTGCGCGAAAGAGTGACCCTTCGCCGGAGTGGCCTTTGGTGCGGGCCCACTGGGGTCCCCCGATCGCCGAACGCAGTGCGGTGGTAGCGTCTTGCGCGTTGGCGTTTGGTCCCCCCGCGGCCCCCAAAAAGCCGCGCACCACAGGTCACTCTTACCCAGGGTCACTGTTGCGTGTAAGTAGACGAATGGATGTGTTGGGGTCCCAGGCGGGCCCAACAAAGTAAGCACACCCGCCGCCCTTTTGGCTTTTGGCCCAAGCTCTTGGAGTCGGCAGTGTGTACATGCCGGCCGGTCAGTACCCCCATCTGAGCTGTGCTCGGTCCGCGCGCGATGTTTCACGAAGGTCAGGCAGCTCTCGCCGAACAGGGGCAGGGGAAGGCGGTGCGCCACGAGTCTTGCGGGCCCAGTTCGGCCCCCACGCGGTGCCCAACGGCGGAGTTCCATCCTTTCGTTGACGATCCGGACGCCGACGCGCACGAGGAGAGCTGGGGCGCCACCGCGCTGCCGAGGGACGGTGACGAGCTGGAGCTCGAGGCGGCGCTCCTCGACGCGGTGCTCCCAGGGGGCGGGCGCCCCCAGAGGGGGTCTGCGGTGCCAGCGCCGAGGGCTGCCCCCGTCAGGCGCCTCCGTTCTGAGGCGTTCTGGGCGCAGGAGGCCGCCGCCGCCGCCCGGCGGCCGACGTGCTCGCCCTGGGAGGTGGGCGTGAGGCGGCGCCGCCCGTGCCTCGACGAGGAGGGCTGCCTCGGACCAGCGGCGGCCGCGACGCCGGCAGCAGAAGGCGCGGGGGCGGCGGCGGCCACGACGCCGGCAGCCGGAGGCGACGAGAGCCGCGGAGGGGCCGCTGGCTGCCCCAGGAGCTGGGCGGGTGCCGTCGCCAGGGAGCTGCGCCGCGCGGCGC